TTTTGTATATTTATTATGCAATTAGCCACCTCTCCAAACTCATTCACAGTTTTTCTATTTGTTCTCTTGCATTCTCCAGGTTTTAAATAATAGAACTGTAAATAATGATTCTTCTGCACACTCCCTTCAAATATCTGATTATGTAAAATTTAAAGGATATGCTTATTACTAGTACTTTTCATTAATTTTGCATAGACATAATATATACTATCAGTGAATAAACTTAGCTCTTTTGGTTAGCTCAGTAAAGATTTCCCTAACTACTATTTTTTCCTGGGTCTTTTGGCGGGGGCACACATAATTCAAAAGTTGTATTTGTTTTTTGTTTGCTCTACCTTATTTTTTTCTTCTCATCCCGTTTCTTTACATTTTTGGAGAGAGATAAAATTTATCCATATGACCAATGAAGTTTTCTGTAGTCAGTAATGCTGACCTGTACCTCTGTTTGTGAATAGAGAATTTGTGTTTGGGGTTTCCTTTTATTTTTTGCATATTTCAGGACGCTCCCTCTTCATTCCTCCCCCTTTTCTCAACTTATTCTTATGGCTAATAAAAATGAAAGAATAATTATTTAGACACATCTTTGTGTAAGACAGAGTGCTAATAAGTACTTCATAGACTAGCTTGTTTAATTTGTACAAACTCTGAGGTAGATGTTACTACCATGTTACATGTAAGGAAACCGAGACTCCAAATCACTAGGCAACTTGCCCAGGACTCCACAGCTAGGCAGTAGTAGAGCCAGGATTTAAAGCCAGGTCTTTTGCCTCCATAACCCATGCTCTTAACCCTACCAGAGGGTTTCATGTGCCCTGACTCTCCTCCCTGCTCATGAGGGGGCTCGGTTCTTTTCAGATATACACCTGGAGTGAGATGGTCTCCTAAGTGCCTGTGCCAGTTCCAGTGCCTGCTCAACTAGGGCATGAGCATCTTCTGCTGTCACCTACAAATTGGCACTTGCCATCTACCTCTACAAGGATCAAATTATGAGCCACTGCAGCTGCTGACCTTCAACACGCACTGAAAGGAGTTCAGGGCAGAGATCAGGAATGAGGCACTCTGTGCTCTGGGAAAAACTGGCAGAACAGGTCTTCAGATAACTATTTTCAGGAGAAGATTTTATGAGCCCAATTCCTGCATCTCCTCGTATTTAGAAAAGCACTAAAATCCTTCATGGTGACATCTGCTCCTCGTGACTAGCAGTCATCTTCTGCAAAAAATATGTGCTTGATTGTATGTACTTCCCCTTCACCAAAATCACATATATACTGACCTCCCCCGCCTCTACCTCTTTGGAGCAGTTTCTCAGAGCTATCTGGTCTCCCAGGCTATAGTCTTCATTCTGTCCCAAATAAAAAACTTAACTCGCAACTCTCACATTGTGCTTTTTCTTCTTTTTTCAGTCAACAACTCCACAATTCTTCGTCTGGCTTTGCTACAGTCAGACAAATGTTCTTTGCATGAGTGCTGTATACTCTCCAGCATTTGCTGCAATCTGACAGTCTGCTACTCTCCATCCATCTACAAGGCCGTCTCTGGGGTGACTGTACATCCGAGAGTGCAAAGTTCCCCTTCCTCCTGAATCTGCAGTTGTACCAAAAATTGAATCCTGTAGTCTCTAAAGGAGATGAGGGATCCTGAGGGCTGGGCATACATCCCTAGCTGGCTCAGATAATTTCTGTGTAATAAGGGGTTTGATTCTCTAGGCAGTGTATCTCTTGTGGCCTGCGTTAGAGGCAGTGACTGAGCGGAGGCTTTTTCTTACCGACTCTGCAGCTAATGTGGGTCAATAAATCAAATGATTGACACTGAAGTTAATATAAATTCCCAACGGATTTTTGTACAGGGTTTCCTCTTATCTTTAGTTATTAGTAGTGTTGCAGTCTTTGTGGGTATTTTTACATGAAACTAGCAAAGGATAAGATCCAAGACTGCTCATCTGTGGCCACATTTGAAACACAATTAATGAGCATCTGTATCATGCAATCAGTTTGGGATCAGTGTTAGACTCCCTTTTTTTTTTTTTTTTTTTTTTTTGCGGTACATGGGCCTCTCACTGTTGTGGCCTCTCCCGTTGCGGAGCACAGGCTCTGGACTCGCAGGCTCAGCGGCCACGGCTCACGGGCCCAGCCGCTCCGCGGCATGTGGGATCTTCCCGGACCGGGGCACGAACCCGTGTCCCATGCATCGGCAGGCTGAGTCTCAACCACTGTGCCACCAGGGAAGCCCTAGACTCCCTCCTTCGAAGAACATATGTGGAATGTCCCCATCAACACCTAGTGGTCACTGACACAGGCCAAAGTGGATCTAGATTTCTTTCTATGATACATTTCCTAGGCTCTTTCCTTGGATGGAGGAAGCTCCCACAATATGAGCTATTCCTAAGCCCTATGGATTAGCTAAATTGTCTTATGACAATTTTAAATGACATTAAAAAGAAAATCGCTCTACCAAAAGAAAAGGTAGTGTTGGAAAGAGAATTAAGGATTGAGCTAAGGTGTTTTCCTGTCTGTGAGACATGGTTGAGGAGGCTGAGAGCCAAGGTCAAAGTGATCTGATCGGTCTTGCTGTTCTTGAGTTGTCTCGTGCAGAGAAAAAGCTTTTACACTGTGAATTGTGGAGGTCCCTTGGAACACATAGGATTTCTTGTTTCAGTAAAGCTGATCTAAGGACATTATACAATGCTCCCTGATTTTTTTTCCCTTTCAGAAGCATCCAAGTTATTTTGGTACTTCTATGGCCAAAGCTACTTTGGATAGCAGGAGGTAACAAATGCATTGAAATATGAAATGTGTAACTGGAAATCCCAAGCTACACTAGGTGCCACTCATCTGTACCCCCATGTCACCCCTTTGTGATGGTCAGTTTTGTGTCAACATAATGTCATCATGTTTTATGTGTTTACAAAGAGTCACCTGATGATTTTAAGTAGAGTACCCTCAATAACGCAGGTGGGCCTCATTCAATCAGTTGAAAGCATTGAACAAAAACTGAGGTTTCCCAGAGAAAGAATTCTACCTAATACTGCAATATAAAAACTCTGCTAGCCTACCTCATATATTTAGACTTGTCGGGCTCCATAATTGTAAGAGAAAATTCCTTAAATTAAATCTCTTTATACATACACATGTTTTACTCAGCTCTCATCCCTACTCAGCTCTAAGCTCAAAGATGTTGACTATGTCTTATACATCTTTGTATCCTCAAATTCCAGCATGGTGCCTTCTGAAACTCTAAGTATTCAATAAATACTTTGAAATAATGGATAAATGGATAAACCTTTGGCATGACAGTTTGCCTTCTTAGGCTCAGGGTGGCTGATCCATTTGATCTTTTAACACATTATATGATCCTAAGCAAATACAATTCTAAGGTCAAAGCAAATAGGAACAGAAATTCAGATGGTTGAAATGCAAAATAATGCTTGTTGATTCTACAAATTATTCTCTACTTCGTATCAGGGACAGCACTGATGAATGGGGTAGTAGCCCTTGGTCTATAAGCACCAACAGTGCAGTGAACATAGTTTGCTGAAAATTGGGACAAGAACAGAACTAGAACGACAAGGAGATTTGTACAGGGAACATGCCCAATGCTACATAACCATAAATATGGCAGTTAATGCACAAACTTTGGCTAGTTTTGCCTTTGAAATTAACTGAACTGTATCAATGGATTGTGCAGTGTTAAGTGAGCAGTATGCCTTAGCTTATTCTATAGATGAGGCAAATGTGAAAACAGATTAAACTGACTTTTGCGGAATAATTATTCCTTTATCTTTTTGAATGGGAAGGAATCTTCCATTTTGAAATGTATATAAAATGCTAATCTCTAGATTCATGACATTGTTTTTTTAACAATTTTTTCAAACATGTTATTTTTCACTCTACAAGACTCTAACCTGTAAAAGAAATAATAAATAAACTTGGAAAATGCTAACAGTAAAAACACTTCAGCCATGGCACGTAGAGCCAGAAGCCAACGACAGCCCTCAATTATAGAAGTTAGCAGTGCTTTTTGTTCCCTATGAAAGCAGGATTCCACATTCAAACAAGAAATTGTCATTCAACAGAACAAATCAGGTCAAGAGAATCAACCATATAATATACTAACAGATAGGAGGCTGTGATCACATGAAGAAAAACAAGAACAAAAATAACAATCAAACCTCATTTCCTGGGACATAATATTGATGGCAAGATTTCTAGGTAATCATTCCTTAATTTAGTTTAGATAAAAACTTCCAACACAGAACACTGTTAAGAAGTAACAGTGATGTAAAAGTGATGTAGGGTGATGTAAGGCAAGTACTATATGTAAGACAAACTAGAACAGTTTTTAATTTCCTCTAGAATTTACTGTAGTTACCATGTCATAATAACAAAAGCAGATCATTCTTAATGTGTAAATTCATTTACTAATTTAAATAAAAATATATGATTCCCGCCACACAAACAGGTAACTCCAAATCTACTTTGAAGTTGAATCAATCAATAAGCATCTATTGGAAACTATGCACCTAGTATCATATTATATCAAAGATAAGGCTCCTGTCCTCACAGAATATGGATCATTGGTAATCAATCATTAACCTAGTGAATGTCATAATATATTGGGGGAATATACTGGAAAACTAACAAATTTCTCTGGACATCATTTATCTTGCCCTTCTGAGAGACTTGTAGATCTAGATGAGATTAGTTTGGAAAAGGTGTCTTGTTTAGTCCAGAAAATCTTCAGAGTCCAATATAGTTCTGGGCTAATCAGAGACTAAACTTTATAAGGTTCTTTTTTTTTTTTAAGATTTTTGGATGTGGACCATTTTTAAAGTTTTTTACAATATTGTTTCTGTTTTATGTTTTGGTTTCTTTGGCCCCAAGGCATGTGGGATCCTAGCTTCCCAACCAGGGAACAAACCCACACCACTGGCACTGGTAGGCGAAGTCTCAACCACTGGACCACCAGGGAAGTCCCTATAAGGTTCTTAATAAAGAAGTAGGCTTGGAAATCAAGCAGTCTTACTTTGAATTAGTATGTTTTAGTCAAAGGTATGGAATCAATGATCAAGTATCAGTTAGGAATTTCTGTAATGCCCTCCAATGCCAAGTGACCACTAATATTCTATTTCCTACTATGATGAATCCTTGATGAGAGGCAGAAGGCATAAAGAATATTGCCAGCTATAAAATAAATTGCACTCCAATGTCTACGATCGCTAAAGATAAATCTTTTTTTTAATATAAGAAACTCACTGAATCAAATGAATGCTAATTAAAGCAAATGTAGTGTATGTAAAACTGAGGTAAAAAACCTTTAATTACGCAGGAAATCTGTGGAAGGATTAATCATTTTAAGAGAAGAATCATTTTTCCAGTAGCCCCACTGCTATGAATGATATCTTCATGAGCCTGGGCCACCTTCTCCAATGGATACTGGGGACCTATTACTGGTCTCAACCAGCCAATTTCCATTCCAGCTTGAAGGGCTGCTGCAAACTGCTGAAATTCCTCCTGAGGAAAAGGAAAAGATTTTTCAGTAGAGGAACACATGACTTAATTTTCAGAAGCATTAAAATTTTTCAGAATCTAAGAGAACATTAAGAATTTCTCACAAATATGTAGCTTTTGTCAACTTGTCCAGAACTACAAAAAAAAGCAGTTCTCTATAGGTTAACCATTAGTGCAATTTGTCTGTGGCGGTCTCAGTTTACAAAATACCTATCGTCCTGAGGTAAGCCATAATTGCGAATAGTATCTCCTTTCTCTTTCATAAGTGCCTTGGCTTGGAAAATAAAATTATATTGTCACCCTATCTTCTAAGGATTATCTTCTAGGGATGGTATCTTCTAGGGATTAATCCTTAACCCACTTAGCCAGATAACTAACTTTAACATCTACTTAAATTTTCAGTCTGCCTGACTAGACAAACTATATCAATGTTTAAGGTACCAAAATCAGAGTCACTTCTTTTCCTACCTTGGTGGATGAATAGAGAGCAACTCCTATTATGCTAGATTCCTTTGCCATGGTGTCCCGTGGGTTTATTTCAATAGGACCCCTGCTGCCAACAACCTAGTATGAAAAACAGCATGTCTATAGTTAAAGATGACTGCAAAATAGAGTTAAATTACAATAAAACTACAAAGTGGTAAAAAAAAATGAAATACTTACTATTACTCGTCCTCCATGTGACAAAAGATTCAAATCGTTGCTAAGATTTACATTAGCTAGCATTTCAATAATCACATCAACTCCTTTTTCACCAACGGATTTCTATATAATATAAAAGAATGCACAGTAGATTAGGAAAAATAACTGTTATCATAGTCCCATATATTACAGAACTGTGTTTCAAATGACATAAGATGCTATATTTTAAAGACTAATAATGCAAATTTTAAGATAACGTAATTATATAGTGATGCTGTAATTCCAAGGTACTAGCCACAACATCTAAAATGATAAAGGTCCATATTAATTGCTATAATGAAATAAAATTTGTCCAAAATTTTCAGGCGCTTAGACTCAACTTGACTATAAAGTACTTTTTCCTTAGCTGAAAATTTTCTATCTTCAAAATGTACTTCAATAGAGAAAGAAGGAACAAATCAAAAATCCAAAACTGGACATTGGGTTTCCCATTTTTATTTATTTTTTTATTTATTTATTTTTTTGCAGTATGCGGGCCTCCCACTGCTGTGGCCGCTCCCGTTGCGGAGCGCAGGCTCAGAGGCCGTGGCTCACAGGCCCAGCCGCTCCGCGGCATGTGGGATCCCCCCAGATCGGGGCACGAACCTGTGTCCCCTGAATCGGCAGGTGGATTCCCAACCACCGCCACCAGGGAAGCCCCCCATTTTTATTAAAAAACAGAAAACAAAAGAAAAAATCACTGGCTGTTTGCTGTTGCAGGATTTTGTGTGTGTGTGCATTCAGTTTTGTTCTAAGTGGTCTACAATCAGCTTGGCAGACTATTTCTTTTCCTTTGGGCTCTCAGATGGCGGTTCCCAGCGTCTAAAACTGGATCTTAAATAAGCTATACATATCTACCTTATATTCATTTATTTTAACAAAAAAATGAATACCTGTGTCAGGCACTGTGAGAGGTACTAGAAATGCCAAGATGGACATAAAGAGCTCAAAACAAAGTGAGGAAGATGGAAAACACTACAATCTTCACTGTGATGTGATGGGCTAAGTAGTATATTAGCAGAAATAAACCACAGGTTATGGAGGGAATAAAAGTTACAACTCTGATCACCTGTAAAGGTCAGAGAAAATTCCACAGAGATGATGACCTGGGCCCTGAGGGATGAGTAGGAGTTCCTTAAGTAAAACAGAAGGAAGAGGGCGCAAGAGGAAGTTAGACATGAGACAGTCGGTCTGGACAAAAGAAACAGAAAAGCAAAGATGTAGGGACTAAGAGTACAGGTTGGAACTGGAAAGTGGCCCAGCAGAGCTGGAGAACATATCTGGGAAAGAGATGGGGGTGGGGGAAGAGGTGGGAGACAAGAAATTGCAAATTGGTTCAGACTGTGAAAACACACCAAATGCACGTTAAAAGATTTGGACTTTTGGGGGGCAGGTGTTCATTAATTAATTCTTGTGCCAGACACTGTTTTAGGCACTGGAGGTACAGCAGGGAACAAGAAAGACAAAAATTCCTATTCTCATGGAGCTCTCATTTCAGTTATTTCTGAAGACTTTTTTCTTTCTTTCTTCCTTTTTTTAAACAGAGAACCAAATAATGCTGGAGACAGTAGAGAAGACAGAGGGGAGATTAGCTCAGCTGGGAATAATAGTCAAGGCTGAAGAAGATGAGGACTAAACTAAGTCACAACGATGAATGGAAAAGAGAAACAGAGATGTATATGAAAGGCATGTCAGAGAGGACACTGATAGATGAGGTGACCAATTTGATGGGTAGGAGGGAGAATGGTGATTAAACAACAGAGACAGGAAATGAAATGTGGGTTTCTGTCCTGAGGGACCAGATGAGTGTCAATATCTAGTAGGCTGATGGCGTGAAGGAATGAAACAGGCCAGAGGTAGCGTTGGAAACCAGCAGTATAAGGGTGTATATGAGATGAATCAGGATGGAGGTGCAGCACCAGAGAAGATCAGAGAGCAAGGGGAAAGACCTAAGGAATACCAACATTTAAGTAAAATGAAGAGAAGGGAGACTGAAAATGAATTCGGAGAAGTAAGAAGAGAGCCAGCTTCTAGGAGGTGTGGTCAGGGTCAGACAGGATAAGGACTGAGCCAAGAGCAGCTGCCTGGTAACTAGGCGCTTACCAGCACTCCTGACAAGCCGTGTAAGTAGCTGGGGTGGAAGCAAAACTGCAGTGGGAGGTAAGGAAGTAAGAGCAGTAAGTACGCCTGACATTTTCAAGAAATGTGGTGGTAAAGGAGGGGGAGGAGGAGATAAAATGTTAAGAGAATGTTTTTGGAGAATGAGAGAGACTTAAGCGGAAGGAACCAGTAGAAGAGACGGAATTAGACTGCAAAACAAAAACATTCTGAAAACTGACAATTTTTCATCTCTGATACTGGTATCATGAGTGCATACTCAATCAATCTTAGGTTCCCTCAACATATAACAAAGGAGTGCCTTTACTCAGTTTTTTGGCAAGATGATTTAGTGATAATAAACTCTCGGCCGTATTTTTCCTCAGTTTGTAATGACCTTGTTTACACAGTAATCAGTACCTGGAATATACCAATTCTTTTTCAACATGAACAAGTAGTTTGGGGATTAGCAAAGAAATAGGTGTTTAGTAAACTGCTACTATAGCATGAATGGAGAACTTCAGAATCTGTTTGAATTCTGTTGCAGCAATGGAATGGATGCAATAATAACTAAATTCTATCTCGCGCTTTGGATGAGGTAGTGCTCACTCCTCCAAAGTATCCAGTAAACAAATAAATTTTACTCCCTAGGCTAAACAGATCCAGTTTTTAATCAGTGGATAACTTCTCTTCTATGGAAAATATACACCAATAGAAATTATATTAAGACTACCTTTTTGTGGCCAGAGGTGGGGTGGAGGTGGGGGACGGGTGACAGGGGTAAAGGTGGGATCAGAAGGTACAAACTTCCAGTTGTAAAATAAGTAAGTCATGGGGGTGTAACGCATAGCACGGTGCCTACAGTTAATAACACTGTATTATATATTTGAAAGTTGCTAAGAGAGTAGATCTTAAAAGTTCTCATCACAAGAAAAAACAATTTTATAACTGTGTATGGGGACAGATGTTAACTAGACTTGTTATGGTGATCATTTCACAATATTCACAATATATATTAAAAAAAAAAACCTGCCTCACAGCTGCAAATACAAAGCTGTGGCTTTACTTAAAATGTGATTTGCATTAAAGAGTACCAGTTTTTATAGCTATAAGCCTCTAGAGAGGCTATATTTTACTTAGTAAAAATAAACAAGACAGAAACAACAGTGAAGGTTTGAAAACTAGACATCTCTGTTAAATTAATTAAATCTTTAAAACACACATAAGCAAAACAAACAACTTTAAGAGAGTAGTTGTTAAACGAACTTACAAAAAAATGTTGTCTCCCATGAAACAAAATTTTACTTTTATAAAATTATAGAACAATTTTACCTTAATTTTATCAATATAATTAGCTTCTTTGTGATTAAACACTTCATGGGCTCCATTCTGCAAAACAATCTTTTGTCCTTCCTCAGTACCAGCTGTGCCCAAAACCTTTAAGCCATAAGCTCTAGCAATTTGGCATGCTGCTATTCCAACCTGAAAAACAAAATATGGCCCAACATTTTAGATTCTTTGCATCCCTGCAAACATTTATTAAATACACATAATGAACTTTAGGTTCTTCTAGGTTCTAGCTATTGTTAAGAAGTTTAAGAGCCTAAACAAAGAAATAAGAACAACAGCTATTACTGAGCATTTATAATATGCCAGGTATTACACTCAATACTTTCTATGTATTGCTTCATTTCATCCTCACAAGAAGCCTATGAAGTAGATATTGTTATTGTCCCTGGTCCACAGATGAGAAAATTGAAGCTTATATATATGGAAACAGGAGCTGGACCAAATCAGATTGCAGAGCTTGAGTTTGTAACCACTGCACAAAATGTTCATTTAGCATCTGCTTTGTGCAAAAGATACAGGGTTTAAAGATGATGAAAATGTGCTCACTGACTTCATACTTTAATTGTACATATAAAATATTACATAACAAAGGTAAGGCCTCTACCACTTAAGTGGAGGAGACAGGTACATACATGAGCAAATTAACTTACTCATTAATATGATGAACGTTTATTATTTATTATGTGCAAGACCTGATTCTTCATGCAAGAAATTTATGTTCTAAGGTAGGGGGAAGATAATAAACACATGAAAAAATAAATGCATAAAGTAAATTCAGAAAATGAAAAGTACTTGAAAAAAATAAAACAGCCTATTGGGTTATAAAGAGATAGGGAAAGGGGCCAGTTAGGTCATCAGGAAAGGCTGCTCTGAAGAGGTGAGACCTGAATGAAGTGAGGGACAAGCACGTGATGGTCTGGGAAGCCTGCTGGAGATACTGTAGGCAGAATGGTCATGGTTGAACCAGGAATGAGCTTGGGGCCTTCAAAGGTCAGAAAGAGGGTCAATGTGGGACTTCCCTGGTGGCTCAGTGGCTGGGAATCCGCCTGCCAATGCAGGGGACACGGGTTTGATTCCCTCGCCGGGGAAGATCCCACATGCCCTGGAGCAGCTAGACTCGTGTGCCACAACTGCTGAGCCTGTGCTCTGGAGCCCGTTGGCCACAACTACTGAGGCCCACATGCCTGGAGCCCGTGATCTGCGATGGGAGAGGCCGATGTGGTGAGAGGCCCGTGTGCGTCAACGAGGAGTGGCCCCCGATCGCTGCAGCTAGGGAAAGCCCACGTGCAGTGGCAAAGACCCAATGCAGCCAAAAATAATAAATAAATAAATAAATTTATTTTTAAAAAAAATGAAAGAGGGTCAATGTGGCTTGAGGGCGGGACAAGTGGGACAGCAGAAGATGAGGCCAGAGGGGCACAGAGAGGGCAAGGCACACAGGGCCTTGGAGGTAAAGGCTTTGGATTACATTTAAGAGCCATGCAGAACTACTGGAGAGTTTAAGCAGGAGAGGGATATGATCCAAATTAGGCTTTTAAAAGAAATTCCAATTATATGAGAGGCAAAAAGAAGGTAGGGGGAAATGGGAGTAGGAAGACCAGGCCTTCCTTATAGATTGAAGGTGGAAGGTGAGGAAAAGAGAAAAATTAAGGATGTCTCCCAGGTCTTTGGTCAGATTAACTGGGTAGATTGACTGGGATAAGGAAGATTAGAGAGGATCAAGTTAGTGACAGCATCAAGAATTCACTTTGAACATGCTGAGCTGTATATTGCTCACCTAACTGAAGATGTAAAGTCATCAGCTGAATATGGGTATGGGCTAAAAAGAATTCAGAATTGGAAACGTAAATTTGAGATTCATCAGTTTAAAGCCACGGGACTTGATGAAATCACTAGAGCACTAGATAAATGTGCTTAGTATAAAGGAGAAATAAAATTATTTTAGGAATATAGATAAAAGCAATTATTTAAATTGCAATACTAGGAAATACGTTTGATCACATGCCAAATGAATGGCACAGATAAGGGTCCCATACATTTAGAGCAAGATTTCTCAAACTTGGCACTATTGGGCCAGGTAATTCTTTGCAGTGGGGACTATGCTGTGCAGTGAAGGATGTTTAGCAGCATGTCTAGCTTCTATCCACTGGATGCCAGACCCCTTTACCCAGTTGTAACAACCAAAAATGTCCCCAGACACTGCCAAATGTCCCCAAGGGGGAGAAGAGATGATATAAAATCACCCCTTATTGATAACCACTGATTTAAAGGAAGGTAAAATGATGATAGACTGGGCATGATAGAAAAGAATTAAGGTGAAAAATGATGATAGAAACTAATTAAAATTGTAACAGAATCACAGACTCCCAGGCCTGAAATAGACCTTAAAGATTGTATGGCATATGGGAGTGATGAGCCTGAACCCACTTGGGTTATGGTGAGGATCTGTTTGATTTAACCAAAACAAACACTGGGAACTCACTGCCTATTGAGTGCAACAGACATTCAATTCCATGAAATAACAATACATTATGTGGTTAGCATGACTGATTTTTGCTACTTTAATTTTCAATTAAAAAAACAGGGGGCTTCTAATAAAACCACATTTTAACCTAAGAGTTAATGTAAATATACCTCCTTATGCCCTAACTACTTCAAAGGGGCACTCAGTAGCTATTTTAAAGGCGCTGTTTATTCTATTCTTGTCAACAATTATACTAACTATATTCCTTCAACAGATTATGTATCATGATGTGTCAACTATTTTTTCTTCTATTTATTTTGCTGACACTAAAACAGGGCACTCCCCACCAACATATCGGAATAATAGCTGTGTTCATATATTCTACACCATTTTAAATACACAACATAATCCCAAAGGAATTTGATTTAAATGAGGACAGAAAGTACAAACAGAAGCAAGACAAAACCCAGCACTGTTTCCCTCTGATAGGGCAGGGAGGATCAGAAGTGCTTCACACACCAGGTCGCCAGCCTATCCCTGCCAGCCAAGGATTTAACAAACTCAGCCAGCACAGGGAACACTGCGGATTCTGCCTTTTAAAAAAAATCATGGTGAAGCAACCTGGCTTTTTACAAGACAGTAAAGGGAATAAAAAGAGATTTTTCTTTAAACTCTTCTCTCCCCTTCCTACTGAAATCTCTCCCTTTGATACAGAGCACAAGGTTAACTCTCTGAAAGCCAAAGCAATTTAAATACATGAATGTTTGACAGATCCTTTAGTTATTTAGGGTTAAATTTAATTTAACCCCAAAACAGCCTCTTCGCTGAAGCTAAACAATGGGCGTTTTTTGACAAGGTATATCTGTCATATTTTCTCAAGCCCCAGAAAGACAATCTTGGTGTTTTTTAGTAAATAGTCTGATCTGTGAAATCCTTCAGAATTAATCTATTGAAGGTACACAGGAAGCTGGGTGTGAAACCTGGTGATACGTTCACATTAACTAACAGATAATGCAGAGGTCTGAATTCTCTGTTTGTATTATCTGGCCACGTTTAGAGGTAAATTCACATTTTCAGGATGCCTCTCATTAGTCTGGGAACAATGTGCCATTAATAGGTTACTTCTTTCCATCTACTCTCTGGAATACACAGTGCCCTGAAAGGGTTAAGCAGCTTCCTCAAGGTGAGCCATCCAGCCCCAGGCCCTGTATTTTAAAAATGCGAAATCCTGTCTCCAAAATTTCTAAAGCCTTTACGTGCAGGATAGAGGTCATGTGGATTTCTTGTTAAATTCCAACCTCAGAGCTCTAACTTCTCCTCTAAGCTCCTCGGAGGCAGACTGACAGCCAGTTTCTTGAAGAGGTTTCTGACAGCCTTGCCTTGCGTGATTTCACTGCAGGGCTGATTTTATAAGTTCTGAGTGCCCCTCCCCCCCAGCTCCATTAGCATTTTAAGCCATGGGTTGTGGTGTGAAGGACACAGCTGTATACTGTGTACCCCACGAATGTCATCATAGAGCAGCAGGCCAGGAGGAAGGGAACTAGAAAGCACAAAGACTCACAGTGGCAGTGTGGCTCTGCAGTGCTGTCTGGGGCAACAGCGGTAAAGCTTTAATGAGCCTTAGTTTCCTTATCTAAGGGAATGTGGAATTTATATTAACCTTAAAGAACTGTTTAAAATTCTAAATAAATATTCTTGGAACATTCACTACTTGAAGAGAAAAACAAAGCCAGTTTACCTTGGTCCATACCCAACACAGGTGGAAAACCTAATGCATACGTTTTTGACCTGGTAATCTACTGAATTTATTAACCAAGAAATGCTAAACTAATGACAGGGAATCACCTTCAGAAGACGGAATTTAAAGAAGCCTCGCTACAAAAAGAAAAAAAGCACCCTTGACTATATTTACAAATTTGGCTTTTAAAAACAACTTAAAGAAATACAACGTGAAATGCACAAACGTAAAAGCTCTTTTAAAAATAAACTTAAAGAACAAATGCTTACCCCTCCACTAGCCCCATGAACCAGAACACTTTCTCCAGCTTTCCCACGGGCACTGAAAAAGAAAGCACAGCTTCATCACCTTACTCTGGAGCTAATTAAGCTCAATGCTTGTCATAATTCTTAAGAGAACTCTACCTTCAGTTCAACTAACACTTACCCAAAGAGGAAACTCATCGTGATATATAACCCAAGATATTCTCCAAGCTCCACAGGATCAAACAATGGTTCTTCAGAGCCACAGATCAAAGTAAACCTTCAATTCACTTATTCATTCAACAAATGTTTATTGGGAGTCTATCACGTGCCAGGCACCGCACCTTCTCAGAGGCCTTGTTGGTGTGTTAAGTGAAATTGCTTCACCTAGAGGAACTGGAGTCTGCCATTCATTCCCACAGAAAATGTTGCATAACAGGGTCGTTACAGCTCAGTCTTTATTCCACGGTAAACACAGAGTAATACCCAAGTAAACACAGCAGCTACTGCCTTCCTTCTCCATGTCTTTGAACATCTGGCTGCACAGCCTCTAAGCCCTCGTTTCAGGAAGCAATGTTGTGTCAGCGATGGTGAGAGTATGAAACACAATAAATCCTGTCACACAGGTTCCCCTGTCAGCCCCTAAAATGTCCAGACCCTCTGGTGAAATGACATATTCTTTATACTTCTGGTTCATACCACTGTTTTTCTATTACACTGAAAACACGGAACGTGGAACGTGCAGCAAGACAGAGAGGGATGCCTTATCATTTCAGATGGACGAGTGCTGATGTCACAAGCCAGCAACCAATGTAATCCAGATCTGACGCCCAGCAAGGATCCTTTACTTACCAGGACAATAGGGCATGGGCACCCTGTACAGACATTATGTTCAATTTGGGAGTGAGAACACAGTAACCTGGAGTCTTGCTCAAGCCCCATGCCAACAGCTGACAAATGACAATTGTGAGTCAGTAAATGAAGTTTCTCCAACATGCTTGCTTGGAGATGGGGGGTTGAGGGCAGTGAGTTAAACCGAGGGTTTGCAATGATAAACTGAGATAGGTATTACCAAAACATTTTAAAAAGTAAAATACAAATGTAAGGGAATAGGATTACTAATGTTATGCTATGGGTCATGAAATACTTCCCAATGATTTTTTTAAAATCTTATAAACAACTCCTCACACACTAAGCACATTCTCCTAAACCTCTGGGCCTGCAGTGCGTGGAGCAAAAGCTGGCAAACCTTCTCCTGGATCCCCATGGCTACAATCCTTCTATCCTTGTGTAGGGTCACTGTGATGGTTAATTTTATGTGTCAGCTTGGCTGGGCCATGGTGCCAGATATGAGTCAAACATTCTGGATGTTTCTGTGAAGGTGCTTTTTTGGATGAGATTAACATTTAAGTCAGTAGTCTTTGAATAAAGCAGATTATCTTCCATAATGTGGATGGGCCTGGCCCATTCAGTTGAAGGCCTTAATAGAACAAAGACAGACTTCTCCCAGAGCAAGAAGGGATTCTGTCAGCAGACTGCCTTTGGATTTGAACTGCTACTCTTATCGGGCTCTAGAGCTTGCCAGCCTCTCCATCAGATTTTAGACTCACCAAGCCTCCACAAATCAATCTATCAATATATACATTCTGTTGGTTCTGCTTCTCTGGAGAACCCTAACTAACAGTCCTCTGTCCCTGGGGCCCACGGCAGGCCTGGAGCATGTGGCCTGGCCTTCTGTGCTGCTGTAGCACCCCATCGCAGTTACTGAAGACTAGGACCTGGCACATAGACTTCCTTCTCCACCCCAAATCCAGCCCCAATCTGGGAGATTTCAACATTCACAGGAGGAAACCCGCAAATCACAATTCCTGAATTCTCCTCTGCTTTTACCACTCTCTCCCTACACCTGGTAGCCACCCCCACCCATTCTACCTGAGGAATATGAGACACTAACAAGCAATATTAAGCTCCTATCCTGATTCTGTAAGCCCATACTCTCTCAACACTTCTTCAGCTGCACAGATCGCTGTCTCAATTGCTCCTTTTCTGCCCTCTTACTGCTCCTGGCCTCACTTCCCTCCCTATTCAGCCTGGACCCCATGGTACATTGCCCCAACTTCTCTCTGTCTTTCTCCTTCAACGTCTCACCTCCCTGCCCACCAACTTTCCATAATTGCACTACCTCTTCCAGGCTTTACAGATAAGTCTCCTTTTGACCTGAAGCCAATCTCTCTATCTCTGTCCTAAGTCGTCTCCTTGCCCTGCTCAGGATCTTGTTCCATCTGCCACTCCGCCCCCTCTTCCAAGCCTTCCATCTCTCCCTCTCTGACAGATCCTTTCTCAGCCACAAACATGTCCAAGTCCTGTCCATCCTTAAAAAAAACCTTTTGTTCCCACACTCTCCTCAAGTACTCTTCTACCCCTTCCTTCCTGTCTCCCCCACTTTTTACGAGTAGTCTCCATTCAAGAATCGATTTTTTTTTTTCCTTCCTCAACCCACTTATTCTAGCTTCTGTCCACCACTCTCCTGAAAATGAACTGATGAAAGCCACCGATGACCTCCTAATTGCTAAGCCCGGCTGGTATTTTTCCCAAATAGCCCTCACTGCTGCATTTGACAAGTAGCTTACCTCCTTGTTAGCAACATCAACTACTACCCCTAACACTACCCACACTGACTGTACTACTCGCATACTAAGAGCTTTACATGCATTAATTACCTCATTTAATTCTCAGCACACCCCATGAGGTACGTGCTATTATTATCATCCATGTTTTTCAAGTCAGTAAACTACAGTTGAGACAGGAAAGCAACTTGACCAGTAGTAGGTGGAGACAATACTATAACCTAGGCCTTCCTGTCTTCAACACCTATGAGCTTAACAGATGTTTAACAGACATGGTGACTCTGGACTCTCTTGCTCTTGGGATACACTCCCTTTAGTTCCCTTAGGACTCTGTTCCCTACGTTTGACCACACTCTTCAATGTTAATGCTCACTAAGGTTCTAGTCTCACTCCACTGTTCTTCTCACTCCCTGAGGGATTTCAATGACTTTCATTTTGTCAGCTCTCACCACATGCTGACAGCCCCAAATTTATACCTCCAAGCTTCAAGCTTCAGACTCTTTCATCCGACAGACCGCTGGACTTCTCCATGACAATGTCTGTCTTAGTTTCACGTCCAAAACTGAACTCAGTTTCCCTTTGAAACTTTTTCCTCCTTCTCTTTGTCAAGGTAAACATTACCCAAGTTTAAAGCTGTAAGTATTCTTAAGCTCTTTCTCTCCCTCATTCTCCACATGCAGTCACCAAATATTTCTGATTTTACCCCCTAAACAGTTGTCCTTTCCTCCCCATCTCTACCACAACCCTTGCTCTAGCCCTTAAGTACTGTTCCTAGAGGGTACTTCTATAAGACCCTCCCATCTTTCTCCATTCCTGTCATCAAATCCATCCTTCGCATAGCAAATAGGTGATCTTATTGAAACACAAATATGACAATATCACTCTCCTGAAAAAAACACTGTATGACCCCCCAATCCCTTACAGAACAATCTGTAAGTGCTATATTCTAGCTTTATATTATCTGAATCCCACCTATTTGATAATGGCAGCTAACATTTATTGAGAGATTACTATGTCCCAACCTTATTCTTTAGCACTCTTTGCCTTGAAATCTTCTATCTAACAAAAGCAAACTGCTATAGCTCTTTCTCCCCAGATACCATGATGTTTGCCCCCCACACCAACTACTCCCATTGTCTAGGATGCCCTCTCCACTCCCAGCTACCCTTCCCCAGGATAAGTCCCTCTGATCCTTTTCAAATATCTAAGGAATTTAATTACAATATAGATTCTCAGGTATCATCCATGGAAACTGACCAGTGGGTCTGGGGTAGAGACTTTTAAGTTGCAGCAATTAGTTTCTGGAGCTGGACAACAAGACTTTTGAACCATGGTTTTAAAATAATCCAAGTCTTACAGCTTTCCAGGAAGCCCTAGCTCATCACCACAGGCACATCCCTTGTCATCCCATAGATCCCTAGGCACATCTCTACCACTGTCCTTTCCACATTATACATCAATATTATTACTCTTACTCCCTTGCTCCCTCCCTTACTAGACTGTGAGCATGCTGAAGACAAAGACAGTGTTTTGCTCTTCTTTTTTTCCTTCAGTGATTAGAATAGTCTCCCAAATTAGCAGTTTCCGCTCCATAAATCTTAATGGGAACCAAATGGGAACCAAAAATGACCGACAGTGGACAGGTGGTAGGAAGCATAAATTATATATTATCCTCTTCCAGTGAATGTTGCCCTCCTCTGGTGCTGATTATAAAGCTGACAGAGTATGTTATTACCTGTGAAGCAGAGCTCGATAAGCAGTAAAATACGGGATCCCGATGGCAGCTCCTTGTTTAAAGTCCAGTTTTTCCGGCAGTGTGTAAACAGTGTGATCGGCTGCCAGAGCATATTCTGCGTAGCCCCCAGAGATTGTGCTGGTAGTGAAAACTCTGTCACCTTTCTGGGGAAAGCAATAAATTAATAAATGCTTTAGGGATTAAAAATGATGTCAAAATGGGTACGATCCTTTATAATGCAACCTCATAAGAAATAAATGAGTATTTATATACTGTTTTCTACATCCTAAGGTCTCATAAAAATAACTTCAAAATACCAAACATTTAAAAATGTTCTATTAATGGGAACTAGTAAGAAGTAAAATCAAGGGAAATAGGAAAAATACAAGAAAGAATGTCCATCATGGTCTAATAATAATGATGATAACTAACCTTTATTGAGAGCTTGCTGTGCTAGGCACTGCATTAAGTGTCTAACGAGTATTATCTAATTTGATCTTCATGACGGCCTATGAGGAACGTACTTTCATTATCTCCCTTTAGATAATCCCACTACACAGATGAGGAAATTGAGGCACATACAAGTTCAGTAATTAGCTCAGATCAAGCAGTTAGTAAATGGCAGTTAATATAAACCTTTTCTTTTCTTTTTTTGGTCCAAAATACTAGGGAGAAGAAACAAATAAAATTTGAGGTTTCGGGGCTTCCCTGGTGGTGCAGTGGTTGAGAGTCCGCCTGCCAATGCAGGGGACACGGGTTCGTGCCCCGGTCCGGGAAGATCCCACATGCCGCAGAGCGGCTAGGCCCATGAGCCATGGCCGTTGAGCCTGCGCGTCCGGAGCCTATGCTCCGCAACAGGAGAGGCCACAACAGTGAGAGGCCCGCATACCGGAAAAAAAA